TCCGGGGTTAGCAAGAGAGGGTGCGGTGGAGGACTGTTTTTTTGATGGCCACAACTCATGAAAACCCAGGAGGAATGAATTCTGTTCATTCTGTGGATTATTTATTCCTCCTCGTGCTTCAGATTCATGGTTTCAGAAGATAGAGAACATCGTTTCATTTAAGCGATGCTTGTGTTACTATCTCTAACCTGTTTTCAGTCTGCAAAATAAGCCAGTTATGAAACACGGTTTGATTTTAGACTAAAGGATTTTTTCCCAAAATCTACAGAAGCGCTGTAGTATTTGTGAAATTAAAATGCCTTCCGGCCTGAAACTGGGGTCGCAAGAATGTTACTTACAGGTGGACACAGAGGCCCTGGGCCACGAGCCTGGGAAACCTCTGAGCTGTGGCTGACAGGTGAGGCCGGCCCGGGGGCACAGTCCCAGCAGCCACCAGGCCTGGGAGGCACTCCCCCGGTGAACAGCGTGAACCACTCTGCCGGACCCGTGTCGTAAGCTCCTGTTTGCTTTCCTCATTTCAAGCAGCAATCAATAAATTCCACAACCATCGTCTTGACTGAAATGTAAGCTGGTGATTGGAGACTGGTGGTGGTCAAGTGTTTTCCCAGCCCCGTGTGATCTGTCCCCTAAGTAGTGACCTCTGTACGCTTCCGAGTTTTCACACACACTAAGATGACACGAAGAAGGCTTCGTATTGCTCTGTTTGTGAGGCTTCTTTGAAATCCTCTTTCCAGTCTGTTTCACGTTAGCAGTGTGTGCACTACTGTATAGTAATCATTAGCTTTATTGTCTTGTAAACCAGGCTCCTCTGAAGAGACTTTGGTGAGATGAACGTGAGGTAAAAATGTCATTCGGCAAAAAGTGCAATATGCGTGGTACTTTTATTTTTTATGTTCTTTTTTAATCCAGGGGTATCAGTCTCTGCTTTGGGAGAAATGCACTAGGTCTGCAATTTCCAGCTGGGCAAGTGAGTCTCTGGGATTTACATGCAACTGATATGCTGGTCCCTGTAAGGCAAGTACGCCGTGTTACCACAACAGAAATCCTCCCTTTTAAAGGCCCTGGGGGGCTACACTGACCCCCCCTCCCCCAGCGGGCACTGCCCTCGCGGTATCTTGAGAACGGGGCAGAAGGTTCTCGGCAGCGCCCCGTCTCCGCTATCCACTTAACGTCTGGGGCCCACGAAGGAGGACTAAGACCTGGCACCAAGGACCCTGTACCAAACTCTTCCTCCCCCTCGGAAAGATAAAGTCAGACTCCCTCTCTTCCTCAGAACTCAAGCCCGGCTGGAGACTTAGGCTGTTTCCTGAGTCAGGTGGGACAGGGCGTGTGCCCTTCTGGGGAGGAAACGGGCCACTCTCCCACCACCCCCAGGCCTCTCCCCCTCTGTCCCCATGCTGTCAGCACGTCAGGGGGGAGTGGGGGGCACCCGGAATCGGGAAGAAGCGGGTATATGCAGCCAGGGGGTGCCTGGGGGGCCAACCAGAAACCACGGGGAAGGGCCACCAGCTCAGGGACATGGATACGTCAGATGAGTGGTTTCCTGGGCGGGGCCCTCCCCATCTCTAGGCCGTGGTACAGGGGTCGCTGCGCGAGTCCATGGATCACGTTTAAGAGCTTCTGTCAACAGTTACACGTAAGCACCCTTTTGGTTTAGAGCATATCCAACTCCAGATCTCTTTCACATTCCTCCTCCTCTAGAGACCGTACAGCGTGTCCTCGGACCCATGTGGGGGGCTTACCTTGGCCACATCTGTACCCCTACACCGGGCCATCTCTACTGCCTCCTCCGAAGCTGCCCGAGCCGTGCTCTCTCTCTGTACCTAGACCTCAAAGGTAAAAACTGGAGAACAGGTAGTAAGTTGGAGTCATTGTATAGGCAGGAATCTTTGATCACCGTGTTAAGTCTACAAAAACTTCCCAAAACATCTTCAGAAGGGTGAAAGACAAGAGCATCAGCTGTCTGTGTTTCTGAACTAGACAAAAACCTTTTTTTCATGGACGTACGTCCTCTGCCAGGCGCCGTGGTGTGGCCCTGCTCGGCAAGTGGCCCGGAAGGGGTGGGGGCGCAGGCAGGTGTCCTACCCCCACACGGAGCCTCCCGCTCACACCCCACCCCGCAGCCGGGAGCCCTGCCGGTTCCCACCCTGGCCCTCAGCTCCCCTGCGTGAGAACGTGTGTACGTTGATCCACACACGTTTCACGACCAGTCTATCAAGTTAGCTGGACACAGGCTCACCTCCCACAGCTGAGGAAACCAAGGCTCTTCAAAGTTGAGGTGACCTGACGGAGCGAGCAGAGCCCGTGCGGGAGGGGCCAGGACAGGCTCTGGGGTTTTCCAGCTCCTCACGCAGGCTCTTCCCCCACCACCCCCACTGCGGTAACATTGGACTCTCCTAGTGAGCCCACCAACAGAGCCCCACCTTAGCAAAGTAGCAGCTGAAGGGGGCTCTGGCCCTGCAACCAGATTCTCCCCTTGGCAGCCGCCTGGCTTCGGGGAAGAGGCGCCTGCAGGGACAGGCTACAGCCCTGGACCCCGCATCCTTCAAGGGCCCGCTTAACCACCGGAGGTCAGACTCCCAGCCCGCATGTCTGGTTCCTTCTACTCGCATGACGCTCACTTCCTAGAGGAGTAGGAGGAGTGAATGGATGGTGGCAGTGCCCACCCTGCCCTGACGGCGGAGCCTCTCCTCACCCCACCCCCCAGGCTCAGCCCCAGGGAGGCCCTTGGAGAACAATCTGGAAAGCTGCCTGGCCTCGAGGAGGGACCTTACCATTTCTTTACAGGGAAGGTCCGTCAGACACAAGTGCTGATTAGACACTTTTAGGGATGAAAAAAGATAACCCACTCTGATTGAACAGAGGCAGGGTGGGTGGGTAGAGGGGAGCTGTGAAAGAGGAAGTACAAAACAGCACGCTGGAGAAACACGACCCCGGCCTAGGATACGGTCGCATGAGCCAACAGTGAAAACCCGGACGGCTGCATGCTGGGTGATGTGTGTGCCGGTTCAACATCTCCATCAAGGCCATGCGAGTGGCGATGGCTTCCCACTAGGGGTGAAAGAAACCCGCCTTGGCCAAGATCTCCGAAGGGAAAAGAAGCAGAAAGAAAAGGTCCGCTTCTCTTTGGGGACTGCAATTTAAGAAATAAAAGTGATCGAGATATTTGCACTTTGTGGAAAGGGCAAGATTATTTGCTTATTTCTGAAAGGAGGAGGGTTGGTCTTTGGTTTTGTGAAAGAGTTCTTTTTGATAAAAATCTAATTGTAGTTATTTTTTCTGTGTGCTTTTTTTTAAGTTACTAAGAAAAAATGGTGAGTTCAATAGCTTTGGTATTTTGAGTGCAAATCATAATAGCTCCAATGTGAAAAAAGAAAAAAAATCAAAATGTAACCTGTCCCTCACTGTTAGAAAATTGCCTAAAATGCAGTTTAATAAATGATCTTTGTTATCAAATGGTAATTTAAAGAGGGTAATTTTCTGCGAAGAAAATGTACTGTTTTTATGTTTCCAACATAAAATTGAACTAAAATAAAAACAACTTGTTTTCTAAGAGCCTGGGTGATCTGAATGTCAGACGGACGAGATGGGGCCTTTACCTCATCGGGCCTTGAGTGGAATTTATTTGAAGTCTGGAAGGTGGCTGTGTTCCCTGAGCTCTGGTGCCCATTTCAGGCTCCAGAAAAGGACAGCGGATAATATGTTCTCATTGACGTCAGCAGGGTAAATAATACCTTGCTCTGAGATCGCCCGAGTCCATGTCAGCCACTGCAGAAGGCTGGCGGGGACAGGCTGACCACAGCCCGCCGCCTGGGCCGCGCTGCCTGCCTCTCCCGGAGTCTCCGAGACGGAGGCCAGCAGAGGAGGGGGGGCGGGCGCCTCGGGCTCCCCCAGTTCAAGCTGCAGAGCAAGTGGGGGGAGGGGTGGGGTGCCGCAAGCCCCCGCTGCGAGTCCACAGTGGCCCGTCTCTTGGCCTGAGGAGCCCTCCGCCCGCTGCTGGCGCGCACACCGCCCGGGCGCCCTCCGGGCCTGGAGAATCCCTTTGCGAGGCACCGCGAGTAGACCCCGAGTGAAAGGGCAGCGCAAAATCCTGCTTTCCGGCAGCGAGTTCAACGGGGATTTGTTTTCACTCAAACCGTCGCAGCGGAGCCCATGCTGCAGAACTGAGCTCCCACGCGGGGATCGCCTGCCGTCCGCAGGGGCGGCCACGCACAGCAAGAGAGCACGGCGCTCTGCGCCCACCTGTTCGGCCCCAGCACCGCATGCAGGTGCTCGGTCCTGACCTTGAGAGCTGTTACCCCTGTTGGGCAACCCAAGAACTTGGTGACCCTGAGGTTCAACTGGCTCGCTTTTTTTTTAAAGG